CCACACCACTATCGTGGCTACCCGGCACTACCGTCCACCAGAAGTGATTCTGGGTGAGTACTGCTGGGGTTTTCGGGCGTCTGGGATGGGTGGAGGAGAACATTTGTCCCAGGGATGCTGTAGGATGATGCTGTCTAGAGGAAGAGCAGCTTGAGAGCGCTCCAGTTCTTGGGGACAACTCGTTCCATGTATTGCTGCAACACCACCTCCGTGGTCCCAAGGTATCGTATGGAAGGTGTTCACTGATAGCGAAGAGTGCAGAGAGGCGAGGAAAGCCTGTGAGACTCGGGAAGTGCTCACATCAGCTCTAGGGGGAACGTGGAGTCAGCGTAAGTCGAAATGGAATCATCTGGGGGAGACTCGATAGTCCTCTTGCCACTGTGCAGCACTGGAAAGCACACAGATAACTTCTAGGTCTGTCTGCGTGTAATCCCTGCAGTTTCAACAAGGAACTAGTAGAAATCTGGTGAGACTTGTTGGGAGCGCAAAGTTAACTTGATTCTCTTTGCAGAGCTGGGCTGGGCACAGCCATGCGATGTCTGGAGTACTGGCTGCATTCTGTTCGAGTATTATCGCGGCTTCACACTATTCCAGGTATGATTCCAGCAAGAGGCTTTGTACCCTAAGAATCCTTCCTGTGAAAGGAAACGCAGATCAGGCATTAAAAATCAGAAGCTGAGTTTGAAAACAAGGAAAACTCATGGTTTGAGGACTTGGTGCTTTGCTGGAAGGACAAGGTTCAGATCACTTCTGGTTTCTTCACTGTGCCTGTGAAGAATAGAAAAATCAAGAGAGCGAGTAGAGGTGGACAGGAGTTGAGTCATGCCTGACAGAGGCTTGTCTCTTCTTCGCCCGTACTTGTACAGGGGACAGGCATCAGACTTTTGTCATCAGATCTCCCGAGTTCTGATTTAATGCAGCGTTGCTTCTTTCCTTGGCAGACCCATGAGAATCGTGAGCATCTTGTCATGATGGAAAAAATCCTCGGGCCAATTCCATCTCACATGATCCACAAAACTCGGTAAGAACCTGTTCCTGAACACTAGACAGTCCATTTAACTGTTTGTGGCCAATTACTCTGCATACCCCTTCTCTGCCCTATGTGGGTAGAACCATGGGAGGGGTGCGGGAGATGTGCCTGATCACGGGTTTTAGGGGAAATGGGTGAGCTGCTTACATATGGCAGAGATTATAGCGTTGTCATCGAGTTGCACAGGCTGCTGCCTTCCCTCTGCCTGTGCGGGTGAGCTCTTCTGGCTGCGAATGCCTCCTGCGTTGCCTTGGCTGAACACCACCTTTCCTCTCCAGGAAGCAGAAGTATTTCCACAATGGGAACCTGGTATGGGATGAGAACACGTCTGACGGGAGATACGTCCAAGAGAACTGCAAGCCCCTGGGGGTAGGTGCTGCTCGGCGGCTGGTGGAGGGCTGGCTGTGTTGCAAGGCTGAACGGCTCTGCAGTTCCCTTCCCCAGATCAGCGGTGTGGGGCTTTGGGATTTCACAGAGCCCCAAACTTTGCATTTTATGGGTCTGGCTGAAGCCAGACAGGTACTAGGGAATGTGGAGGAATGCTGTACTTCAGGATGGGAGACGGCCATGACCTCACTGTACATCACCAAACGAGGGCTTAGGGTTCAGTGCCTGTCCTAGCGGAGTGCTACACCCCCCTCCCCTCCCCCCTGCCCTTCTCTTTCAGACATACATGCTGCACGACTCGCTGGAGCACGCACAGCTCTTTGACTTGATGAGGAGGATGTTAGAATTCGACCCTTCCCGGAGGATCACATTCTCGGAAGCCCTCCTGCATCCTTTCTTCGCTGGCCTCTCCGCGGAGGAAAGGATGCTGTGCGGTCGAGGCGCCAGCCGGGACCTCAGCAGATGACAGCCGGGGAGGGTGCGATGCCTGCTGGATTTGTACAGCTGGGATCAGTCTAGCCTCTGCAGTTCAGCCCCACTCCCTCTCCTCTCAGAGTTCAGAGGGGCTGGGGCACTGTGACAAGGACCCTGGGTAGGGGAGGGGAAGAAAAGCTACAGTGGAAAGCACAGATTTGTCTATTTATATGTTGTAAAGTTAAAATAAAGTGTTTCTTATTGTTTGATACTTCCCTTGTAGGCAGGTGCAGGGTTCTCTTGCTCCCAGCTTTGCCTTTTCTGCCAAGGAAGATGGAGAAGTTGAAAAATTAACTGGACACTAAGCAGCAGGAACCTCTGCTTCACTGGACAGTAGTGAGGACTGAACTCCCTGGTCTCTGCCCTTGCTCTGCCAAACAGTGTCGAGCAGCAGGAGGGCTTGCTCCAGCTGTGGTGTCAGGCTCTAGAACGATAGCAGACAAATAAATAGCTGCACACGAACAGCACCCATGAATAGTTGCACTTTATTTCAGGACATCCCCCAGTAGCGGCAGGAATTAGTCGTTACAAACATTAGGTCACAAATGGAATACCAAGCAGTGACACAGTGCAGTGATCTTCACATGTTAGTGACCGGAGCAGTGCTCACGGGCGGTTCAGGGTAGAAATTATTTATCTCAAACACAGATAAAGTGTTCCATTCTTCAAATTAACTCTGGCAGCATGGGGGTAGGGGGAGAAGAAGGGACCCAGACCCCTTTCTGGGTCTCTTCAGTGCTCCAGGAGAGCTCACACCTGCACATAAGATGCATCTCACATGGGTGAGGCAAGCACCTCCTCGAGTAAGCCTCTGTATCTGAGGGAAAGTACAGCCAAATATCCAAATTAATCTCCAGAAAGTGAACACACTGTAAAGTTTAACTGTGCTAAACACAACCCAAAGCTGCCTGCCATGCCCAAACCACTCTGCGTGGATAGGGATTGGGAATCCCTTTCGTTATGTGAGGGTTTGTACCCTCCCATTGTGCCACGCTGCTCACTATTACTTTTTTTTGTTTGTCCTTAAACATGGGGAACCCTTAGTGCTTCCTGGAGCTATGCAGCAGTGAGTACAGACCTGATCCCAGCCGCCATCCCTCCAAAAACATCCTGCCCCGGTTCAGCGGCCCACTGGGCACCTAACTTCAGCCAGGGGCGTAGCAGCGCAGAGGCAGAAAAGGACCCTGTGATGAAGCCTGGAGTATTTCTACGCTGCTCGGTGCATACAATCTACAGTTTGATAGCCAAAACCAGGCAAGAAAAGCCCACAGCCTGGCTCAAGGAAAGCAGAAACTGAAAGAGCAAGTTCTTAAGTGAAAATAAGAGGGCTAAAGCTAACACTGTAGTACAGCAAGGACCAAGGGACAGTCATTCACCTTTTTAACCCAGCCGCTGCTCCGCTGGCTAAAGATTAGATGAAGCTGAAACAGCCGAAGAAACAAGAACAGCAGGGGGAAGCCTCGCGTTTCTATTTTAATTAACCAACCGCATTGCTATCCCTTCCCACTGCGGCCGAGTCAGAACCACAGCTTGTTAAATGCCACCACAGTTCTAGCTGAAACACGGTTCACCTGCGGAATAGGTGCTTTGCCTTTCCTAGGGGAGAGGAACCGTTCGAGGGCAGAGCTACACCCTGTCACAGCACTGGCAAGTCACCGAGCCTCCCCGTGCGAGCGCTAAGGCCGCCCGGCGTAAACCGGCGGACGTGGTTCAGTCGTCCAACCCTCAGCGGGGAAAGAAGCTCAGGGGTCCAGACACCGAGAGGGGCAGAGCCCCTCATCCTGCTGAGGTACGTACAGCAAGGTGCAGGCTGTTTGGCAGGGGCAGAGACCTCGGGCGGCTGCAGGGGCGAGCAGCAGGGGCTTCCCCTGTCACTCCACATTTCCAGGCAGTATTAATTACTCAACTGCTTCTTTTCAACCGGGGAAGTCTCTTCCCTCCTCCTTTGGTACGCTTAGCCTTTGTTTTAAGCAGATGAAAGACAAGTGCCCGATGTGGAAATCCTCACCGCTCGGCACACAAGTGGGTCAGTGGGTTTGCTAAGCGGGACTCCAGCTGCTTAGCAGAGCACAGCGACAGAGCAGCTACAACAGTAGGTGACCCAGTCCACAGGGCCCTGCGCTTCAGCCTCAGAGGGGATCCAGCTCCCCTGGAGAAAAGGCACCCTTTGAAGCTCTGAAGCTCACCCAGAAGCCAGAACAGGGCCTGTGCAAGGTTTAGGTACCTGCAGGAGCTCTGGGGACAGGCAAGGTGCCAGAAGAGCAACAGAGCTTCAAGCGCTTCCCCTACTAGTGACATCGGGAGCAAGCAGGGAGCCAAGCACCTCTGCCAGCGCAGGGCCCCTGCCTTGCTCCTCCGAAGGAACAGCTTGCCCTTACAGCGCCTTCTGCATCACTCCAGGTTCAGCACTTCCCTGGGTCGGCTACCGGGCGCAAAGCCATCAGAGAGCACATGCTGAGCCTGCACAATGGATTCCCAAAGCCGACTAGCTGATGATTTCTCAGCTTGTCCCCTGCTTTAGGCACTGCACCAACGCTCCATTGGGCCAACAAAACGAACGCCGGAAAGAAAGAGAACCCAACGCTTCCTGGCGCGTGGGAAGCAAGTGCAGCACAAGAGCGGTTCGCGGAGCAACCCGGGGCAGACCCCCTACAGGAATTTAGACAAGAACCTCCTGCCATAGCCCTCCAGGAGGGCAGCAGCTCTCGCCACACCATCTCCTGCAGGCTAACAGGACCGTGTAAGCTTCCTCAAGCTGGTTCCCAGCACATGGATGCGTGCACACACAAGCCCACCATACACACAGGCTTCAAGCCCAAAGGGAATGAATGGATCCATAAACTACTTCCCAAACCACTGAGTGTAGGAGGGATGCTGGAAGCACTGGGGGAACTCACCCAAACATCGACTGCACCGTACACCATGCAACAATCTCAGAGTGACACTGCCTTGCTTCACTATCATTTCCCCCGATTCAGCTACTCACTGTGCTGGAAAGAGAAAAAAAAACAAACAAACAAACAACAAAGAAAAACAACCAACTACCCTGGAAAAGTTCTTTTCCAAAACACGCCTCACTCTCATAGACCTGGGCTTCATCCACTAAGTGAACAAACAAAAAACCAACAGAGTATATAAGTAAGGCCTAGCTGAGGAAATCTGTGTTCCCAGAGCATGTGCAACCCGAGAGCTTCTGGCTCTTGATGCGAGCTTTCCGAAGAGGGAATGCTCTCTTTGAGGGGCTGGAGGGTCCAGGAGGGAGAACGAGCTACAACTGCCTTCAGGAACGTAAAACAGGGGAGAAGGGAGTCAGAAAGAACAACGGAATAAAACCAAATCCTCCCTCCCGGTACGACTGCAACAGGAGGTATTTCTACACAATCAAGGGGTGCTGTTCCCACCAGGGCGCCCTCGCTGGGTCTATCCGCCCAGAAGGACTGAGAAACACATCTCAAATTTCCAAACCGCTCGTCACTTGTACCACCTCCACGTACACCCCCTCATTAAACAGCCTCCCGGCCGGGCCTGAACAACAGTGGCCACCTTTGCTGGGGACAGACACCATCTTCCTGCGTGTTGCTTCATACAATGGCACAAGAGAATGAGAACAGCTTCGCAGGAACATTCGCTTCCTTCTTTTTTTTGTTTCATTTTATGATTATTCTTTTTTTTTTTTCTTTAAATACACAATGTTTTTTCTGGAAGGAAAACTCTCCAGAACTTCACATCCTTAAGGCGTCATGAGTTTACTAGTCGGGATCCACTGGACAGCTTATTTGACAGACCTCCTCCTCCTCTCTTCTCTCTCCCTTCAGAGCCATGTGGCTGGATGGGCTCTAAGTAGAGTGCAGGGGGATGACAAATTTGCAGCCAAAGGGCGAGTGGTAGTTTATTCCCACTTCTTGAAAGACCTTCTGGGGAATGCCAATGTCACAGAGGTACACGCGCCCTGCCCTCTCGCCCAGGGGCAGGGGCAGGCCCAAGGCCAGCGACCACTTGGCGTCGATGCCCTGCTCCATTTCGTTTATCGGAGGGTCTATGCTGAGGACAGGTGCCCGATTCTGGTTGGCCCAGTCCACAACTGCTTTGTACCACGGCTGATCTCTCAAGAAGGCATTTTCATGACAATCCAGGCAGTTGATCACTAGGTCAACAGGGGTATCTGGGAGATCTGAAAAAAACACAAACGTCATTGAGTGCTGAGGACCAGCCTGAAACCACAAACTAAGGCTCGGTGCCTTCCCTCCTTGCACTGCCAGCGTATTTTTCTTTTTTTTTTCCCCTCCAGCACCCACAGTCTGGCCTTACCTGCTGTTACTGCCATCCTTCCACAAAAGACACTGACACTGGTATTTAAAAGCTCTTTAGCACTCTGGAGAACATTCACAGACTCTCAGGTACAAAATCTCATCAAGCGGTCAGCACTTGAGCAGCCCTAGGTGCCGCCCCCGAGCTGACTCACCAGTCCAGGCAGCCCAGGGAAGCAGTGGTGGTCTCTCTCTGTTATAAAAGGACCATTTTATATTCCACAAGCTGCAAAAAAGGCCTATTTTTCTGGAACAGACCGACTACCTCTGCTATGGAAAGGCAGCTTGTGTGCTGCACTGCTGCCTGCCCCACTGAGCTCCGTCAGTCTCACTGCACTCACCTCCTCTGTACCACATTCCCCTCACCTGACCAACCACAAAGTCCTCGGTGGACTCTTACAATAAAAAAAAAAAACTTTTATAACAAACAGGTAGCTCAGCCAGCACAGCGCAGTCCCCCACCCCGCTACAACACAAAACACTGTGCAGAGCCAACTCCCACATTTGTTACTCCCAAGAAGTTTAAATGAAACAGGTTTGAAAATACCGCTGGTGAAATGACAGACAGAAGCCAGCTCTCTCACAGAAGACAGAGCATCAGTTTATTCTGGGGCATACCACGAGATCTGAATTTTGACAGCCGCTGGGACTTAGTTTCAGCAAAGCTGCCTTTTAAAGCAGCAGTTGGATGCTCAATTATTTGCAGTTTTGATACGCGGAACAAGGAAGGCTCTTATCCTAAGAGCGCGGCTGGTCGGACTCGGATCCATACAGCAGCTCTTCCATATTTGTTCATACAGGAAACATCTGTACCAGCACAACTGCTCCACTGTTGAAATTCTCGATTCTTTGCCGTCCCGCCAGCCTCTGACCAGCCATCTGCCTGTGGCAGTGCCACTAGATGGTGCCACTGGGCCAGGCAGGCACTGGGGAGCTGAGTGGCACAGGTCTCTGCGAGGGGCCAGGGCGGCAGAGAGTAGATCTGCTCCTCGCTCACTTACCTTTGACACTGGACACCTGCTGGCCTTGCGTCTTGCTGAAAAGGTTCAGCTCATTGGTGATGGATTCCAGCATCTTGACAAAGTTGGGTAGGAAAAGGATGACGTGGACATCGTGGTTGGAGAGGTGCCGTCCGCAGCTGATCCCTTGGGCCCCCTTCACGTGCGGGCCGCACAGCAGGGCTACCGTGGGCCGCTGATGCACGTTCTTCGGGTTCAGCCTAAAACGCAGACAAAAGGGACTTAATAAAGCAAAAAAATCTCTTACCTTCTTCCTGTGAGAAGGGAGCAGGGGGGGTGGAAATCAGTAAAATGCAAATTTTACAGGTGTTTTGCAAATCTTCCGTTGCCTTCAAGAAGGAACCCACATCCTTTTGTAGCACTGACACTAGAGCGCTGCTCTGCTTGCGGGTTCCCTTCAAGATTTCCTCACACCCGTAGCGGAGAGCACAAGGTCCTAGTCTGTCCTGGTTCATCACAAAGCCAGCTTGTACTTTCAAAGAAGAAGGCATTTTCACCGCTCATGTAGCAAGTCTGAATCCAGGGCAATTTCACTTTTAGAAGGCTTTTTTTCTCTGCCCCTCTAATTTCAGAAGAATGCTAACTATACAGTCTTAAAAATATGGGATGATTTATTCCATCAGCAGAGCCACAGTTAAAAAAAAAAAAAGAAAGAAGAAAAATAATTTCTACTCCCTAAGCCTCATCAACTGCAAAATAAGAGTCGATTTATTGACATGGCCTGCAAGCCATCAAGGGTGGCTTAGAGGAGGATTTTCAGCTGACAGGGTCAGTGCTGCCTGGTTTGTCATGACTTAGTGCTTTCAACCAAATGATCAGGTCCCAGACTGCAGGTGAGTACTACTGCTAAACAGACGGAGACTGTTAGGTCTTACCTTCCATTTCAAGAGCAAATAATTTGGAGCATCTATCAACAATACAAAAATACCTGTGCAATTGTCTGCCCACATTAACAACTACAGCAAGTGCAGGCACCGAGCGGACCTCTTCAAAAGAGTCAGCACATATATTCACACAAAGAGCAGTAAGTGCACCCCAAACCCACGAGCAAATTGGGCCCTCCAAAAGAGCAGGATATTCTCAGTTTAGGTGTAGATGCCAGAAAGCTAATTCAGCATTGTGAAAAGCCAAGCAGCACTTTGTTTTCACAAGTTACCTTTTGTTTTTATCGACAGCATGAAACTGTAACACATAAAAACAACGAAGGAAAGGTTGACTTATTTGCAAAAAGGAGTAGCTCGCCAGAAATTCTGCAATGGTTTAATCTGCCGCGGGCTACACCTGCACGAAGCTCAATTCCTTGGAAAAAATTCCCAGTAAGTGGAGAGCAAAGTCTCAGCTCTGTCTGTCTTGCCTTTGACTCAAGAGACACTTCTGCTTCTGGGACACAGAAGCCAAAAAGAAACCCTTAGTAATTCATCCAAGATGCTTCAGCCAGCCCTTTTCTAGAGAGGCTAGAGAGCAAAAAAAGCAGTGTGAACATGGAAACCTGCTGTAAGGCTTCCTCCCACGTCAAGAGCCTGAGCCTCACGCTTGTTTTCATGATTTAGAAACAGGCTGATGCCATGAGCTACACCACAGGTCTGCGTGGCATCAGGACAAGTTTTTTTCTTTTAGAGGCAAGGAAGGCAGAGAGGTGACAGATGCCTCCAGCTGCAGGACCACTGAGGGACTAAGACAAGCAGCAGCAGGCATCCGCGTGACATTGACCTCAAAGGTAACCTCTCAGCCTCCTTTACCTCAACCCCACTTAGCAGAATAAGGTAAGCTGAGCTCTGCTTAGAGGCGGCAAACGCACAGCACAGCAAAAGGGGGTTGTTTTCGGGTTTTTTTACCTGTTGGGTCCCCCAAGGAGGCTCAGGGCCATCTGACTCGCACACACTCCCGTCATCTCCAGCCTCCGCTCCAGAGTCAGCCCGTGCTTCTCAGCGACCGAGAGCAGCTTTTTGTGAAGCTCGTAAGACACGCTTGGAACGACCAGCCCGGAGTCTAGGGTTCAAAGAGAAGGGAGGGAGGAAGACAGAGAGAGGTATAATCAGAGACTTTTCCAAGAATGCTGCAGACTGGTAAGGTTTTATATGACAGCACTGAGAAATGACGACAGTGAAAAGGCTTACTAGCTGTTACCAAGAGCCTGCTTAACCCAGTAATCCGGGTTCCTTCCGAGAGCGTCAAATGAATCCAAACTAGTGCATCAGCCAGATTACTCTGAGTGAGGCGGTGACAACTAAACACAACTGCTGGGCTTGAAGTAATATACGTTTCCATGAAAATTCAGCAGGCAGCTGGCAATTTTAGCAACACGTGGACTGAGAAGGTCTTTTTGAGTTAATATGTAAGTCAATAATACTAAGTTCCTTCTTAATGGTCTCCACCCATGCCCAAACAGGTATACGTGTTCCTAATCACCGTGAAAGTCAGAAGAGAATCTGTGAACCAGATATTCCCACCCAAAAAGCCTGGATGCATTATGCTTCCCAACACTGGTAGTAACCAGTCCCAGATTTCCAGCCCTTAACCCACATATCACAGCAAAACAAGACATCCCACATATAGGTGTCCCCACCACCTGAGCTGTGCCGTGCCAGAATGGCTGGCTTCCGACACAAAAAGCTGCATCACGATACACTGAGGCAGCAGGGGAACGATGCGGCTGAAAGAATAAAGTCTGTAGAAAAATACTTCTCAGACGTTTTTGACAAGTCTGGTCTGCGAGCCAGGAAACCTCCAGCACGTGGATCAAGGGAAAACAAACAAGAGAGGTTTTGTTAAGCGCCGAGAACAGCGCCTGCAGTAGACAGCAATACAAGCCCTCCTGCTCGCTTTGACAGCAAAGTTGCCTGGAATCAGCAGGTAGGAGAAACACAAACCTGAATAACTATTCCGGCCAATTCTTTCTATGTTCCTTCTTCCAAGCAGGCCAGGCTGCCACTGCCTTTACAGAAATAAACCCTGCAGTAACATCTGTAAACTCTCCTGGAAATAAATACAGAGGATTTCTTGCTACCAAAAGGCAGCTTGCTCTGAAGGGAGCCACAGCAATTTTTTGCCAGTGTGTTGAACTGCGGAGGACGAGGAAAAAGAATTACTCATGGTACATGGAGAAAGAAATGCAAAACATCAGTGACAGGTGAGAAAACTGCTGCAGCAGCCAGCCAGATATCCCTGACTATCTTCAGCCACAGAAATGACCCTCTTCATTCTAGCTTTGCTCCTTTGCTGCACAAGGGCTCTGTGAATTTACTGGAAGATGCACTGTTAGTTCCTGCTCTGGGACAGGCAGATGAGGCACGTGGGAGTCAGACACAGTGGGTCAAAAAGGTTCCAGGACTCAAACCGACACCTGCTACAGCTCAGGCACGACGCCAACCGTCAGGCCAAAGCATGAACTCGGTCCTTCCATCAGCACGCTCTGCTTCTGCGGTGTTCAACGGCCAAGCAGCCCTGACTCGCCTTCCCACTCCCACCAGCTGCTCCGCCGCTGAACTCGGGGCGACAGCAGCAGCCCAGCGGGACGGCCAGGCTCGGAGCGCCTGCGCTAACAGGAGAGAGTGGTGGGAACGTGACGGGGCCCAGTGAAAATGCTCTGCAGCGATACGAGCTCAAAGGGGAACAGCCACAGCATACACATCCGCCCGGGGAGGAAACCTAACAGTTACTCGCGGGCTCTTTTGCAGACAAAAAGCGTAACAAGAACCAGTTGCAACAAGCAAGTGCCATATTCAAATGAGATAAGCAGTGTGTATTTTAATTGTGAGGAATTATTTGTACTGCCATATTTCCCCAGGGTGCCCCAGTCACAAACCACTAAGTAAAAATTATGGCGGAAATGGCAGGTTTTGTACATCTTGAGGTTTACAGAGTCAAATCTGAAGTATTCCTGTGAGGTAAGAGTAAAAAGTTGTAAAAAAAACTTCTAGCCTTCATTTCTGAGCTCCCTGGCTAACGCTTTGCAGATACAGAGGGCCCAAACGTGTTCAAACACTTGACCTTGCACGCTAACCGCCGATTAAGCTACCTCCGCTAATAGTCTTTCATTACACGCAGCGCACATGCAAGCATGCACATTATCAAAGTCATTTCAGACTCCTGATAGCAGCCGCTGAACGTCTGGAGTCATAAGCCACTAATAACCCTAAGCCCATCACACCAGTCACGCACCTGCCCTGTGTTCACACGCCCTCTTAGCCTCAGGAGTCACGCAAGGCTCGGCCCTGCCTCTTTCCCATTCATATTTTTGCTACTTCATCAGGTCTTGTTTTTCAAGCTTGAGGGAGGACTTGGAACGAGTGACCTGAGGTCAGGATCTCTCCAAACAGTTTGACGGGACGCATCCTCTGCTAACTTGAAACAGGGGGTTCCCAAACTGTAGTTTTGTTCCTTCTGAACTTCAGGGCCACAGATCCTCGGCTTAAATTTTGCACAAACTCCCCAAACAGGGAGAGTGAAAGAGCCCATCTATCCTCTGCACCTACTCAGTCTAGTACGACCGCTGCCCACGTCTTCTCTGTAACCGTTTACACCTTTCCCTCAGTCACTGCCCCCAGCCCACGAGCTTCAGTAAACCCACGTCTACCATCAGCTAGGCGCAACTCAGTGCCCAGTGGGTTAATGCAAAGGGGGTTACTGGGCAGCAGCAGAGGCATGAGATGAACTTGCATTTAGCATGCCAAGCACTACACTTTGTCCTAACTGCTCCCTCTCAGGAGCAGGACTAAATGCCAAGAGAACTTCCCTTCTTCGCACTCACGCAAGGTCCAACCAGTCAGACTGGCTTATCAAAACCAGGCCAAGGGAGTTAAATAAACTCTGGCAGAAAGCAATCAAGGAGGCGACGTGTAAACCCACAAACAATAACACTACTGCAACAAAACTGAACTCCTGCCAACTTTAATTATGTTTGGGTTGGACAGTGCATCTTTATTGTTTGCTAATGAAGGTAATAAAATAAATTAGCTCAGGCCTTTTAATATTAAATAAATGTATTTTACAGCTGCCGGGGGGGAAAAAAAAAAAAAAGGCAGATATAGGCTAAACAGTTTTGTCACACGCAGAGTATTGCTGAAGCCTGATTAAACACGAAGTATTCTCCATTTGTGAGGCACACTCTGCCCTCGGCACTACAACTGCAAACAAGTTATCTCGTTGAGCTTCACTATGCAATGTTACATGCGTACCGGTTGGATTAAAACACCCTATGCCAGCAGGACTGAGCTAACTCTCCAGAAGTTAACAAAATAAGAGAGTTTTGCCCCAAACAAGCCCAGAGCAACGCTGCTGTCAGAAGTTCAAACGCTTCCCATGCTTTCAGTTGCAGGGGGGGAAAAAAAAAAAGAAAAAAGAACAAAAAAAAAGAAAAAGAGTTGCTGCCAGAGTAGCTTAAGCATTTAAGCCCCATCATTACTCTTGACTATTTTAGCAGCTACAGGCAAGCTGCAGGAGTGGATCAGCTAGAACTAGACTTTGGATGTCCAGAGCCACACAGCTCATGGCCTAAGATGCAGCTATGTGGAGTGGGAATAACTCTTGTCCAGTTTAGGCAGATGGGACATTACTTGCTGTCTTTTGCTGGTTGTAGAGCTCGACCTACCTGCCTGCAGACTCAGCAAAACATAGTCACTTGCCCCACAAACACGAATGATTTTCTCCATAACCTTAAGGGCTAGCTGTTTTTTCTTTTAATCATCATTATTTTTAATTAAGACAAATTCTGCGGGAGTTCTGGCTGACGTTCCAATGTCAGCCTCTCCCAGCATTAGTGCACAATTCACTCTGGCTGAGCAAAAAATTGTCTGAGGGACAAAGAGACTTTGCCCCATGACCACTTTGTTTTCTGCTGCTGTTGGATACAGTGAACTTAATTTGCACTCAACTCAAAGATCCCAGAAACACTTCACACATTCAATATACACAATCACTGTAAGGCAGTCATCCATAGACTGAAGAGCTAAAAGCTAGAGCATAGAAAAGTCAGTCAAGGACATGGCGCACACACAAAAAAAAAGCCATACTGTCTGCATCATCCTCGCAGAACAGACTCAGCCTTAGTTTTGTAGTCCAACCCTGGCACATTAGCTGCATTGCTTCACTCCGAAGCACACATTTTATTTCACTATCTCCTTACTGGGGTGGGGGGAAGGGTTCTTGAAGGACAGGTTTGAAGTCTGGTTAGGAGAAGCACAGCAAAATAAATATCAACACTTAGTCCGATTTTTTGAGCACAGTCCTGCTTTCACTTGACAAGTGCCTGTCTCAGATTTCTATAGCAGCTGAGTTTGAAAAATCCCACTTATTTTCCGGAAGTGACACTGGGATGAAAACAATATATTTTCTACACTAACAGCATTAATGAGAAGAGAAGCTACTTTGCACACAGGCTTAACTAGTACATCAGGGAAAGAAGTACATACGTTACCTACGTGGCATACAGCTCTCCTCTTTACTCAAAGTGTGCTCATAAAGACACTTTCTTGTCAGAAACAAAGTTAGGAGGAAAGGAGAGATGAACTGCAAAAAAAAAAAAAAAAGAACGATTTGGAGAGCCTGGTATGCTTGAGATTATATTATATAGACTCACTGATGATGAACTGAGATACTCCATTCTACTACAAACTCCTTTGAGCTCCAACATACCTGCAAAACATTGCCTTTGCGGCTACTGCTAAAAGACCTGATCCCAAAACACCGTGCTGTTCAAACACAGATTGTTTCAATGCCAACAGCCAACAGAAGGAACAGAAACAGATCTATGCCAACACACATTTTAATTCTCTAGATGGACAGCTCTGGAAGTAGAAAAAGACAGCTCATGAAGACGATCAGCATTTCCAGGGAGGCAGATTTCTGTTAAACAGTTGCACTTCCCATTTCAAGCATCATGTAGCGGTAAATACAGAGACAGATCAATAGCAGCCAGCCCAAAAGAGTAAAGACAAATTACATATTTGGGAGAGATTCATATCTGAAGCCCAAGGGATGGACTCAGCTCAGTCACGATCAAGTAAATCTTAAGCTCTATTAGCTTCAGGTTTTTATTTTTGTTTGGAACTGATCCCCATCTTCATTCCCTGCTTGCTTCTAAAACACATGCTAAAATACCTACTTGACAGCCTGGCTCCATAAAATTAGCTTTCAGAAAAGCATCCTGGTGGACTGAAGTGTTTATCAGGCTTTGCTTACATCCTACACGGATCAAATTATTTTAGTCAGCAGTAAAAACACAGACTGGAAGCCCTGCAGATTAGTCTTTTGGAGAACTGGCATCAGCAGTGTGCTGGTTTTACCACTGCACAACCCTGGTTATTTCCTAGCTCCGTGGAAACATGGCATAAAAGAGCAGGCAAGGATTCACAGACTCCTTCCTCTCTCACAGTGAGAAGAGCTGGGTATTAGCTCACTGTCAATCACTAGCATCACTTTGTTTGTGCTATTATAGCAGGCAGAATAATCATTCCATCAGCCAGAGCTCTTTTAAGACAATCATCTTCAAGACTGGCCTAGGGAAAAAAATTATGAAGTACTTATTTCTCCTATAACTAGGAAGTGCTTTTCGCAAATAGAGCTCCCCTTAAGGGAGTCCAGACACAACTCTGCAGGGAGAATTCGGAAGCAGAAAGAGCAATCCTGCCACAGACATATCCAGAATCATGGCTTTCGGGGCTATTGGCACTCAGATTTAATCTTAGCAGCTGCTGCTCTTTCAGCCACTAGGACAGGCAAGCTGCCTAGAGCTTAGCGTCCTCCTTCCAGTTGCTAAACAAAAGAAATCGTGGTTTGGCTTTTTTTTATTTTTTGTTCAAGTGACAGTCCATCATTACTCCAAGCACACTGAATATCCTTCTGTCCCTCGGAGGGCTGACTCGCTACAAAAAAAGCGCTAGACTGAATGGCAGAAACAGCAGGCAAGTTACAACTGTTTACAAGAGCTTTTGCTAGATAGCCATTAGCATTTCCTAAGCAAAAGTAAACTTCCTCAGCAGGCACAAAGGGAAGTCACTCTCTATGGGAGAAACATCTAGAGAGACACAGCACTGGAACACTGTTATCATCATTCACAGGGCCATGAATGTGCCCTGCTCAGCACAGGCGACAGGGAACTGTAGCTGTCAATACCCTGCCCGTTGTGTGACACGACAGCTTTTCTTCCAAACAAATCCAGAATTCCATACGGGAGACTAATCACCCAACAGTAGCTAATGAGGCTAGCGAGACCCTGCAACTACAGAGGGGAGTCGTTTGCCACTCTCCCTGTGCAGGCTTGCCAGGAACAAAACAAGAAAACAGCAGTCCTTTCACTGGGCTGCTCCCTTCAGCACGCTGCAAACGGGGAGCCAAGAGTTTCCATAGTAAAGGACGATGGAGTTGAGCAAAACACGATTTCATTTTCATCCCCTGAATTTACTCACTGATGCTTGCTGCTTATTTCATGTCAGAGTTTTCCTCCCGGGAACTGTACTGCTAAAACACCGTATTAGCCATACTTCTCAAATTGGCAGCTAAACAGTAGGTTAGCTTTTGTTTCAGGCTAGACATACATAGAGGCCCTGTCTCCTCTCAAACAAGCCAGCTGGAAGATGAATTGACAAGTAGCAAATTTAAGGCGGGGGGGAAGTAAATCACATCTGAAAATGAAGAAGTGCTTACTCACACAGCACACAGGCAATCGCTGGAGTTTCTTGCCACAGGACACTGTAGAGATACTGAAAGCTTACACAGATTTAAAAAGCAATGGGTTAAATTAAGCAGAAAAAAAAAGGCCTCATCAAAAGCTATTAATACTAAAAACTATCACTTCTGCTTCAGAAGTCTTAAAACTGTGAAAGACAAAGCACTCGGGGCGGGGGGGGGGCAAGTCTCACTGCATGTTTAGTCTGCTCTTTCACTTTCCCTTACGTACCCTTGGAAACACAATACTGAAGTGGACAAGCTCCGATACGAGCCAGTATGTTTTTATCTCATTCGAGAGCAGAACAGATCAATAAAAAGATGGATGACACAAATGGCAATCTAAGATATCCTTGTATAGCAGAACCTTTAAAAAAATGTTTACTTTTCTTTAAAATTAAAAAGCAGCAAATCGTTGCAAAGAAATCAGCTTCCTTCTCTGAAGTGTTTCACAACCCGGATGGAGTTTCTGGGCAGAGAAAGAATAACAGATCAAGGACTTGATCATGCCTCTCCTCAGTGGCCAGACCACCAGGATATTAGCTATTTAGTGTCCCTCTACAAAAAGGTCTGAGGCTTGATTTTATTCTGATGTGGAAATGTTCCTGGAATGCCAAAGTTCCTACATTTTGCAAGAGCTAGAAAGCATGCAAACCAAACCACAACTAGCTTAAAGTTACAGGGAATTTGCACCCGAGTGTAGCATAAAGTACATATGCTACACTTCATAGCAAGTGTACGTATAGAAATAAAAAGATTCCTTATAGTAAAATCCATCAGCATACAGAACTGGCTCCTGGTGAAAGCACCATTACTTGGTGCTTGGCCAAAAAAAAAAAAAAAAAAAGAAAATACTACTGAACATGAAACAAAACCAATTCTACCCTTCCCCAGAGCCATGGATTAGGAGCTGAATAACCATTCTCTGCATTTGGATTTTAGGAGCGCTGCCTCCCTGCAGCCAGGCAGCTCGCCGATCCACCCCGCTACCTCCACCTCCGTCCAAGAGCCTACTTAGCGGCAGCAAGGCCCAGAAATCAGACTTGCAGGAGAACATCTGCACAGCAGCTGGCACCAGGGTGCTGAACGAGTTTCCCCTGACAATACACTTGATGAATACTTCAACTGAAGCATCTGCCTAGAAGTTTTTCTTCCCTTTTACAATTAAGACTAAGGTAAAGCAAAGGAAAGGCACAGCTTGCTCTCGAAACACATACTTAACACGCGTGTTAATGTGGTGTTCACCCAGCTGTCTGGAGCTCGATCGTTCTCACAGAAGCAGTGGACAGTAAGTGGCGGGGACACACCCCACATAAAAAGCCTTTTGTACAATAAATGTTTGGAATTGTGGATGGGAAGAGCCAGAACTGTTTCTTTTTCCACCAGTGACATTTAAAGTTCTGCAAAACCATGCGGAAATATGTAACTACCACACAAGGAGTACCAGAAACACATGAAATTTCCCGCGTTTTACCAAGAAAGCACAAATTACGACACGCTACCAACGTACCAGAATCCTGAGACCATCCCTCCCTCTCAAGAGCCAGCAATCAAGTCCACGCAGGTTCATCATGCTACCAAAATCAAAGCACGGATTCAAACGGCTCCTATTCACTTCCCATTCTTGTTATCCAACCTCAGTTTTTTTCCCTACTGCAAAAACACTTACCTTGTTGTCCTATCTGAATATTTTTAAATCTCAGAAATATTGCAAATAAAGGTTCTGTGTAGATAGAAGGCACAGATCCAATCTTACGCAAACGAATGCCCTTGCTTGTACCACACTAAGCTGGTAGGCGCCCCTTGGGGAAAACAATCCACCGCACGTGCCCCAGAAAAGCAGCAGAGTTTGCATCCTTATCGGTAAGGGATGTGGCATACCCGTGCAGAATTCTTTGTTAGCGTTCTGGGGTACGACAATCCTTCTGTAGACTATGGGCTCCGATTCCAAGATGTTCTCGTCGTGCCGATAGCGAGCTGGTTTCTCATTTGGGGTCCCCCGGGAACGAGTGCCGCTCCTCCTCTCATAAGTTTCAATCTCTTCAAACACAGCCGCCTTGTCAAAAAGGGCCAGGTTCCCTTCAAAATCAAAATCTGTGTCTGGGATTTCATCAATGTCATCTCCAAAGCACTCATCATCTTTGCTCTTCATCTGCCCGTTTTTCAGGCCACTCTTCTTTGGAGTCACTTGGTTCGGATGACGGCTACTGGATGACCCTAAACAAAAATAAAAGCAAGTAGAAAGTATGTCACAGATGGAAAAAGCCACGCTTGCTCATACACCTTCTCAGCAAATTTTGTTAAGAGGAGAGTTCATGCTTGCAGGCCACTGTCTCAAGGAATACTCACTTCCCAAAGAAGCCGTTAAGCCTCATCTTTGGCACTACTCATACTACGATAAGCTAACAGAAAACCGAAACAAGAGCATGAGCAGAGAGACTTTCAGGGACTTTCCACTGGCAAGGTTAGAAAAACAAGCTTGACCACAGTAGCAAAATAAACGTTTCTCCACATTTTATTTAATTCAAGATAGTATCCCATTAATGGTACGACAATAAGCTAGCTGTGACCTTGATCTCCAGCCATAAGTTGGGTGTGAGGAGACTTTCATCACTCTCATTCCAGAGAAATCAGGAATTTGAGATTTGAGACTTTGCTTCCTATACTGAGCTTCTGTTCATGTAGGCATGTGGCCTAAGACCTTCTTTGGAATTTTCCTAAATTTCAGAAACTAATGTAGGTGCTTTCTTTTGTAACAGGCTGGCCACTTATTAATGATCTTTAAAGGGAGAACTTAAAGCCCTGAATATAAAGCATTTCTTTTTCCTCACTCTTGCTATCAATAGGTACACATTTCTGTACCGATATGAAGTCCATTCCCTTATTCCTATTTCATTATTCTACTTACTCATCATCTTGCATGTTTAAGTACACTTCTTCCCAATCACAAGTAACTGGGAAAGCCTGATTTCTCTGGAATGAGAGTGATGAAAGTCTCCTCACACCCAACTTATGGCTGGAGATCAAGGACTGATACAAAGCCATATGCAATTACGAGGTCAGCATATCCCTCTACTTGCTTATTTCTTACATTAGTATTCAGGTCACCCATACAAACTCCGGTCCAGACAACATTAATCTGTTTGTTATACCCATTGTTAAATTTGCAATTACTAGGAAATATTTCAGGCCAATTCCAGCAATTACAGGTATCGCCTACAGTGTCCAACAGATGGAGTAAGAGTTATCACGCCACAACTGCTTGCTCTACTAAAATATTTCTCACAGTTTAAGATAATCACCTTCGCGAGTAAGTTATACAAATGAGTTTATTGACAGAATGCATTCGATAACACAGGAACAAACTACCGCAATGTGGTGTCTTTATATACCTCCTCCATAAATCAAAAAGCAGCATTTTTTTGCCTTCGCACATCATTGCCCATCAATGGGAAAGGACAGGAAGAATTTCAAGTCGTCTAAGGATACTTTGAAAACATCACCAAAAGATGTGCAATAGGCACAACCTTCATGGCCTCCTGTAAAGTTACTTGTCACCTTCAGAAGTGCAGATAAGCCTAGCTTGTCTACAGGAACGTTCATTCATTGCAACATCAGGACAGCAACTGGCACATTCAAGACGAATGTGCCAGTTTTGGCCAAGTTAACAAACAGAACTCATCTCTCTACAGCAAAGTTATTCAATAGCTCAATTACACAACTTAAATTGCAGCTTTTAACTCCAGAACACCCTTACGATTACCTGAAGCCTTTATAGAAAGCACTGTAAAAACAGACCAGAGCAGACAGAGCTTTCCTGGAAGATACAAGCAGGCTTGCCTGGAGTTCTCAAGAGCTTATAGAGGACTTTGTAAGCTCTGGCAAATTTATTCTACAGCATGATACTGACTTCATCTAACAACACTTCTAACATGCCATGCTGAAAGATGCCTTGCTAAAGATACATACTTGGTTTTATTCTCAATTAGGAATGCATTGTCTCAGCAAGGATTTTCCCCCTGTTTATTTTTCCCATTTTAGACAGTGTGTCACCTGTTTTTTCTAGGGAACTGTTGAAGTGACTAACCTGAAAGCTCTCCCAGCCCCAACAGCAAGGAAGCTCTTTGAAATGGTCAGCAGCTCCTTCTCTGGGGCATGTCTGAAGCACTTGAGCTAAACAAAACAGACCTGAACACCCTAAAGCACTCCCTCTCACAGCTGCTGCAGCTCCAGACTCCAGTTACGCCATAATTCAAAAGTCCAGCAACAGCAAAAAAGTGCACAAGAAGTCAGAGTCCAGTATTTTCCACCTTGACAAGCAGGAGATAAGACCTCAAACCTTCAAGGCTCTGTGGAATCATCAAGTAACCCCCTGCCTCCCGAAACGATCCTTTTCCTAATGTGAGTAGTTTGTTCTGGTGGGTTTTTTTGTTTTAAACATGAGCTTAAAACTGCAGCTCTACCAGTTTAAAAACAGTTTTGCCCAAGCGTCCCTAAGCAAGCACTGAAGAGACGGAAAGAATTGACTTTCCCCAGCTTTATCACCTGGCCTAATGCAAGATGCTGGCTTTTCCCTTTCCTCTCCAACACCATTATATCATTACAGCTACAGCGCCGCTATGTTAGATAAAATACCTTAAAGGGCATCTACCAAGTCAGACAGCTAACAGCTAAAATCTCTCGCAGAAGACAGCTACCCTGCCTACTGGATTTACTCTAACCTCATTGCATCATGAAAAATCCACTGACCGCAGCACAAAGGCACTTACCTCTTCAAAACAGCAGTATCAGTACAACAGCCAGCATGAAATATTTATTCTGCACGTACTGAGGCAACTGAAACCAGCTACACAGAGTTGTGTGGTCAGTGTCACCACATTTTGACAATACTCTCTATTTATAATAATTTGAAATTACTACTAACTACAGCAGGTAGTTCATTTTCAGAACAGTGATTTTCAAGCTGCTGGAGACATCAAGGTGTTTTTATCAACAACTGGGTGAGAACAGACTACTGTAATACACCTTTTGCCAAGAAGCCACTAAAGAACAGATAGCAGAATTCAAGAATTGCTGGTGACAAAACAGCATGTAGGAGAAAGAAAGGGTAAGTCTTTCTGGCAAGAAGAATTACAGTATGCAAGCTATGGCCAGTCATTTACATGCACGGTTTTGAGAGAAAGGGAAAGCTTTTTACTGACGCAAGACTTCCAAATTTGGCATATAAACCGCTCCAAAGTTGTACACAATTTGGTACGGAGCTGGCAACCGACAAGGGAATCGCATCCAACGCCGCTGCTATCAGCCGCACAAGAAATGAGAACCCAGACCAACGCAACAGGCCGAGTTCTCGAAATGTTCACAAACTCCAGGTCGAAGCAATAGTCAAGGGGTTCTCAGAGTTCAGATGAACGAGCTGGAGCCTACAGTGAACACAATGGCAAAACAAGCCTGCTTCTCTGTCAGTGTCAAGCGTTATGGCAACTTGGTCTGTTCCTGTTACCCAACAAGAGTTTTTACACTCACTGCCAGATGCTTCTGCAAACGACACCACGCTACCCTTAGCTGACCTGAAAAGCAAAACGTGGGGATAGATGCAGGGCCGCGCAATGGATCCAGGGGACAGAAGCAGCTGATGCGAGCAGTGTGCAAATGCTGACGGAATAAAAAGCTGCGCTAGAAAAGCTGCAAGAACAATGGCTGGAAATCTCCCCAGGCTCCCCTGCAGACACAATGAATGGGAGCCAAGACCGTACCTCATCAAAACGAGACGTGCCGGCATTGTGGTGGGCAGCTCTCTAATCCATACCGATGGATGCCAACTCTGAAACACTGCTGACCCACACAACCGGCTGTCTTCTCACAGACTGCATTACAACCCCGCAACAGAAGTTGCACAGAGCAGGGCAGAGGCCTTCTACGAACTCCTGCGTGGTGTTCCTCTTCAAGCACTGCCACCTTAGACAGTCAAGAAGACTGACAGCTGATGCTGTTCAGGGAAAAAAAGGGGAGAAACACCTAGAGAGAGGACAGGGGGAAGGATGGGAAAACTCAGGCAGAAGAATCTGAGATAAAGCTAACAGGAGAAGTGTGCACTGCCTTCCAGACCACTGGCGTGACACACCAGACCAAGTCATGGCCTGAAAGCTGCTATTCATAGCTGCGCTTGCTTCCACGGCCTGATCCAGTCCTCTGCCAAGCAGCTACAGAAACCCAGACCTTCTGGTCCAGCTCTTTTCCGAGTGCAACTTCCAGCGCCTCTGCCCTGTGTGCGTACGCATGAAGCTTATTGAGGAGAACAGCACATGGCTCCAAGTCAAGTTGGCAGCTTGACGCCGCACAGAGAAGTGCCTCCCTCAAAAGATAAACAATACTTCCCAGGCTTTTTTTGTTTCTTAGGAAAAAAACCTTTCATGTATAGCACACAAGCAAACGTAAATTCTCTAGCGAGCTGGCCGCCTTCCTGCGAGATCCCTGTGGGAGCTTTTGCCGCCAGCCCTGGCATGAACGAGCCCAGTGCCAGCACGGCACAGAAGCCATTGTTGTGAAACCTGCGTTGATATTTGTTGTTTATTGATTCCTGTCACACAAGTACTCCGAAGGGGGAACTTTGTCCCTGCCTTAGCACGCTAAGGGGCATCAAAAGGTCAACTTTCAGCTGTACTAAACCTTATATGGCTGAAGTTGTAGATGACATCTCAGCCCATTCTTCCCTGGATGCCTGTACCCACTATCTCCATAGAGCCCAGACCTCTTCCGTCCCCCCTCCTGAGATTCACACATCATTTGCCCTACTCTCCAAATACACACGTTTTTGAGAGCAAGAGTTCACTTTTCTACCTCATTTATCCCAAAATGAATCCAAGCTAACAATAATCTACATCTAGCACCTTGCTCAATTTGTTTCAAAGACTGTAAAAGGAAATCTGACTGGCTGTTGTGCTTCTGTTAAAACCGACACAAGCTATTTGTGGGTTGAAGTGGTTTGAAGCACCCACTGCTCACCTCAGGCCTACCAGACCTGGCAAAACAGTGTTAAGTGAGGTAATCCTCCTACCCGCTCCATCCAACCAGAATAAAGCAAAGCAGAAATTATTTTAGACATTTACGTAGCTGACGCTGAAGTTTGAAAAAGTTTTTTCTAAAAACAACCAAAGTAACATACTCAAACAACTAACTGGAATTTAGGAAGAGTTAGGGAATTAAAAAAAAAAAAAAAAGAAAGTTAACCTTAAAGGAACTACAGCTGTCTTCCTACAGCAAGCCCTACACCGTGCTTAGGCGCGGATCAAAGTACAACACTCAAAACCAGACAGGCTTGAAGATGGTTAGGTCACAAAGGAGTGCGTGCCTGCCGTTCCACATCGTTCTGGCCTTCCTCTTCCCATCAACCCTGTTTGGCAATCATTTAAATAAAGAAGTGAATATGAAGAGAGTTGCAAGCCTTTCAGAAAATAAGACAGCTGTTGGAGAGAGAGGAAGACTTCCAGAGGTCCAGGAATTTCTCCACAAAAATACAGTCTTTGCTCTCCCTGTTTAACTGGCCTTGCCCACCTTGGTTTTGCTTCTTTTCTAAACGCAAGAGCAAGGGGAAAAAATGAAGTCATGGAAATACGCTAGATACATCCTGACACTTCAACACTTAGGTCATGGAAATATGCTGGATATATACTGACATTTCAATAATTATTGCATGATGAAGATCTGGAAAGCAGCATAGCCCAAGGGGCTTTGAGAAAAAAAAACCAATTTTGGCACAGCCACGAGAGCTGGCTGAAGACTTTATGAACAGAAATAAAAATACTGGATGCTTGACTTTGAGATGCACTGACTGTATCTTTACATCATCCTCATTAGAGGCCGTTAATTCGTATTTTTAACAACACAGCAAATAACATTTGTAATTACTTGTGGGGTGATGTTGTAATAGGCTGTGGTTATACAGGCTTTAAATAGAAAAGCTTTATAATATTGCAGCTTGTTTCCAGTTCCTTTTAGAGGAGAACTGGAGGCTGGCAATTGGGCAATTTTCAAATAGGAAAGATAGCAGCAACGAGGAAGTCATTGTCACCGGCACTATTCAGCTCTACATTTTCTAACATTTGAGGCTGGTGAAGCAGAATAATACACTGGGTGGGACAGAGATTCTCTCCACTAATTAAACTTGAATATTCACTTTAACAAAAAATTTGTTAAAGAACTATTTGCTTTTTACATCAATAGGCGTCAACCACACTTCTCTCAGAAATTCTGCAGCAAAGAAAACACCAGTATGTCGCTCTTTGCATTACTCAAGATTATGGATGAGGCTGCATCGTCATCTAATCCTAAGAGACTTAAAGATAAGCGCCAGACATTTGGAAGATCTGCACTTGTCATACTTGGAGGCACAGCTTATGAAGTCTCTCTCCTCACTATTTAACTTCCTCTTCTCCAGACCTTCAGTGCTGGCAATACAAGTATAAAAGCAAACAAACAGAAGTTTCCAGCACCGTCTGAAACGTTCTTGCTGAAGAAGGGAAGATGTTGCAGTGATAACTCAGGCGGGCAAAAGGGAATATTTTGCAGGATAACACATATACTCACAGGAATTGTGTCTACGACGGAAGCCTTTGGATTGAGGCAATGTTTCCACATGTCGATCCATGTAGCTCTTGGAGCACTGCTGCTGTGGAGAGATGATAATATCCTGATTCTTCATGTCCGTTCTCCTCGGGATATTCTGCGGGGCGCTGCTGGAGATGGGCTTCTTTAACACTTTCCCAGTGCCATTCTGACTGGGACCCACTTGACATCCAACACCAGGGATGCCCATTTCTGTCTGCTGCAGGTCCCCACATTGTCTGCTGTCCCCCGGCCCTGGGATCTCCAGAATTTTCAGCTCAGTAATATCACCTGCCCTAAAAACAGGAAAAGAAAACCAGACATTCAGGCATTTAGCATTCGAGGTACCTTTGCAAAAAAACAACCCCTAAAGAAAAACATGCAACATTGTACAGTGGGTTTTTTCTGATGCCATTATCAACAGAAGCAAGGGCGGGGCGGGGGGGAGGAAGGGCTTTTAATACTCAAACGCACAGGATATTTCCACAGACATCAAAATATTACACTGAAAAGGCATGAATCTTCAAAATAACAACTTGGGTATTTCTAAACTGCACCTGGATTTTGTTCGAAGGGTTCTGTTCCTAGCTGAAACAGAAATCTGTCAAGCAGAAAATGGAAGGAACTAGCACAGACCTTTGCAGAAATCTGCATTAATTTAACAGTTTCCAGAGAATATAATTAATCTCAGCCTTGAGGCTACTATTACTTTTAATCCATTTCTACAGAAAGCTACCCTTAGATTAGTGCAATTCATGCTCAGACAAGGATGGTGCTTCCCATTTCCTCAGAAAAAGGATAGAGAACACTCATGTAAGCACTGGGCATGAGCCAAAACAAAACAAATAAGTGGTTCCAAAGACCTCCATTTGCACTGAGTGCAAGAAATAAATCAGAAGTTAGGGTCTTCTATTTTAAACTTAGTAAATGTTTGTCCAACTGGGATATAAAAGTAGCGAGAGCTTGCTACAGACTCCTGCGTATCTCCTGGAAGAATATGGTCGCTGTCTTTCCCCTTCTCTCCCTTCAAAATCCAAGAAAAAAAAAAATTAAGAGTATTGACTTCAAGGAACCAATCTTATTTAAAAATCAGTGACTCAGAGTCTTAACTATCATAATATGCCAGGTAACACAAAAATGTCCGGTGACTGGTGACTCTTATTTATTCTTTTCAAGCACAGTGTTACCAGGAGCTGGTGGGAAAGAACTCCTGAGAGCTACAGCACTGCTGCATTGATTCAGCTTTTTGGTCCAAGCCTCTCTCCCGCTTACACAGAGGAAAGAATGTGGTGAGAGATAGATGGGATGGAGCTGGATTTAATAAGTGCACTTAATTTTATTGTATCGGGGGCAATAATTTGAATTGCTCTACCACTCTGCTTTCTCTTCTGTCGCACTGTAATAGCATATAGTATACATATGCTGAGGGCAAAGCTTGAAGAGAGTATGCCAGCCCCCTCAGCTACCCAAAAACCTAACAACAGAACGTATACACACAATACATACACACACACACGCACACACACACACACAGAGTCTCACCCACAAATAAGCTCCAACTGTGAGCTACACCACTTCTAATGACTAGGATCACAGAGCCAGAAAATAATCTCGTGCACACAAACTAACAGAAATCCAAGAGGCACTTCTCATCCAAAGGTACTCAGTAGCAGTAGGGAGATTTAAGGCAAAGAGCCCATTTCCAGGCAAAACCAAAACATCCAAACCACCACAGACCTTGCCTGGAAAAAGGGACGAGGGAAAAAAGACAGACACTAACCTGAAGGTGACTTCTGGCACGAGGCACTTGACCCCATTATGGAAGGGCCGCGTGAGGGAGATGGTCTGGCTGACCTGATCCACAGCAGACACTCGTCCTTGGTAGACTCCCAAGCTTTCTCCACAATTAATTGACACAATGCTCCCGAGCCAGTCCGTAGCCATATTTCCAGCACACAATTGCTGTAAAGAGACACAGGCCTGGCTGTAACAAGATGCAGAAACTGACAACCCGAATCAGCATCAACTGCATCCCCCGGCCCACAGCCCTGGCTCCCACCCAGGCTCTGGCTTTGTCAGCTCCTCTCTCCTTTGTGGGGTGGAAATAACATCCCTACAGACACCAAGGATCACAGCAAGCGTGTAAATCCCTGGACAGGGCTTTGCCTATACGATCGTTTGTAACACAGATCACCATTTGCATCATTAAAGAAATCATTTTTGTAACTGAATTCAAGCCTAACAGCTTCCAACACCAATATTTAGTTCTGTCTGCAGACGTTCCCCCTGTAATTTAAACCAGGGAATTTATCTTCGCTTCCCTGTTTAAAATTTTGGCATACAAACACTGGGGCAGAACAGCTCTTGTGGATACTCTTCAGTGAGAAGACTGATCTCTGCACATACAAATGAAAACCAACACATTTAAGGGAACAGAGAGATGCAGAGCAGGGCAAAAAAAAAAAACAACAATACTGCAGTCCAGGACAAAAGTCTTCACGCTCTCCAGAGACAGGAGTATTAGTATTACTGCCACAATTAGATAAATGAAAAAAGGAAGTTGCACGCCCTTCTGAGTTCTACAAGAATACAGGGGAGAAAACGCACTTTGTTTTGTTAGATGTTCAGTGCCATGTAATTCCCTTAGTTTTGAGGCTTGAACTGAACTTGTATCAGCACACTTTGAAGTAGCTAAGCATGTCTTTTGAGCTGAGATTTCTTTCTCCAGACAAAGAACGCAGGAAGATGACAGGCTCACTAGCATCATAGAGGCACAAAAGAGCTGACAAGCTCATAAATGAAAATTACTACTGCATGTGTTTGCCTTTCATGCTGTAATCAACAGTAAGGGGGAGAAGGCTTGATACTTACTGTAACACAAAGACAAAAAGCACAGGAGATAACCCAGGAAGATTAATATCAATATATAAACCACATTTCTGAGAGAGTCATTTTAATTCTCTTTAAGCCCTTCCTGTCCTGAGCCTCTTGGAAAAAGATACAATAAAAAAAACCAAACAACTGAAAATAACTAGGACACATGCATGCTACCAGAAAAAACTCACTTCCCCCAACTTTCAGGAGACCCAAAACAGGGAGTGCTTCAAAGGGAAGCAAACGCTGAATTTGGCCACTAAGCCATAAATTCTTCAGGAGCAGTCTCCTCTCTTTCCTGTTTCTGTGTATTTATATTAACCCACGATAACAATGTCTGGATTCCAAGATGACAGCTCATAAAAAGCACTTTCAAAACACAGTTAACACGTCCCCGAGTATCTGCAGTAAAACTAAAATTTTGCTCCCTTTCCTGCTTTTTGTATCTCTCTTTGAAAACAAGGAGAAAGAGTTCAGTACACATCACCATCTTACAAGGATCCTTTTCAAAGAGCCTCCTTTTACCAAGAAAAAAACACCATAAAAATCTGTGTTTGTGTGCAAACATAAACCAAAACAAGGGAAACTCATCTGAAAGGCTCTCAGCCTACTACTTTATGTGCAAATCCTTTACAAGAGGGAACAAACTACACGTGCAGTGAATGATTTGCTTCCTCACACGTGACAAACATAAGCACATTCGAATGTTTACAGACACCTACAAAGTCAAGCCTCCTGGCTAATGTTCTCTCTTACATCCCTAGTTTTTGTCATACAACTTGCAGCTATCTCATATTCTCCCGCATCTCCTACTTCAAGTGTATTTTACTGCTATTACTGCAAGTTCTAAAAGCCACTCAAGTCACAGAGCATGCAGCACTTAATAAACAGGGTTTCTAAGTGATAACTTGGCATGTGATGAGTCGATAGCTTTGCACACCGGGCACTGCTGCTTGAGAAGGAAGATGCCGCTATGCACATTCTCCCTAGCTGAAAGATGAGTTAGCACGGGGGTGGTTTCACTCATTTACCAGCAAGGCAGCCACCGAGCCTACCCGCTTGGTACCTCAGAGACAAGGTGGCATGGGATATATGCTCCGAGCAGGGCTCGTCATCCCGGGCTGGGTCTAGGTGGGCTGCCTCCAGCCTGATCCCCATAGCAGGACACGGGGCCCCCACAGGTAAGCACAGGGCCCCCCACAGCCCGCGTCTGCGTGGACCCCAGCAAGAAGCGGTCTGCTAAGGCTTGGAGTCCAGGAGGGGAGGCGCTCAGCCCAGCCTCCGCAGGCCTTC